ATGTTTGTAGCGTTTTATTTTGTGTATGCAAATGAACTTTTCTAAATAAAAGGGCTGTTAGCAAGTACAAAATGAATCTGTACGATGATTCTTGAGCCAAGAATAGACGAGATTGCTTGGTGGGAACCACCCTGAGAAAGGGAGAGAAATAATAATAATGTAAACATGTTAGCTTGACTCCTAATCTATTCCATGTCGTTGATCAGAGCCTGTTTTTTCATTTTGAAGCTTGAAGTTGGTCGTGTCTTTGGGCACAGGGCTATAATTACCTGTATTCGGTGTACTTATCCCATGTGGCGCAGATAATTTGGACAGAGTTACTGAGTCATGGATTTGGACAGTGTTCTGCTGTACGTGCAACTGATGTACAGGGCCAGGGTATCCCTCTGTTAGGGGATTTCCACCCTTAAAACGATAGGGCTTAGCTGGATGACAGCTGCATAAGTAATGGCTTTTACGTCTATAAATGTCAGTAGTAGTTAGAACATGCTACTCAGGGAACTGGGATGGCACAGGAGATCGTAAGTTAATCATTGTTAATTAACGATCTAACAGGTAGTTCCTTTCTGCATACCCCAAGAGCTGGCCATTGGCCTCTGTTCGCTATGCCGTAACATACTGGCATTATACAGGGTGGGTCATCTAGTGCTGCTAATTTGAAGTAAAAAATGAAAATTGATGTTAGATAATTAGGTCCAGGTTTGACATTTTTACAAAATTCGATCCGGTCCGATGCGTTTTTGGTTTTTCCAATGAGCTGAAAATTACATTGCCCAAGATATGCATTTATACCGGAAAATCGTTCGTAGTTTCTAGTGGTCGTGGAGCTAGAGGCAAAATCGAGAAAAAAAATCGCTTAAACTTTGTTTTTGACGTTCAAACCTGGGGGTTGGACGTTGTAGGGGGTTGTAAATGTAAGGCCTTGGTCAAACACGTTAAAAAGATTCCGATCCCGATAACAACGGGCAAATTAAATGATAAAAGTCCAGTGTACTCCAACTAGTTTGCGGTGGTATCGCCACTGACATACCGCTACAGGAAATATTTTTATATATTATAACAATATTTGGATATTAGAAATACGTGCTTTAGCGTTCTGTGATGCTTTTGTAAATGATGAGTTAACTGTTTTTACATCAACAAATATAATTTTCTGAATTTTATGATCTTTAAATCTCTGAATATTCCATCGATTGATATACAACAGACACCGACTGAGAAACCGACATAAATGAGAAACACGGTTTTGATGCAGATATCTTCAAGCAGCAGAAAACTTGTGGACCGAAGTTCGAATATGATCGCGAGCTTAACACTTCCACCATTTAGGTAGTCGTAGACTTTGGAAATTGATTTAGATGCATCTAGTCAAGATCCGATTTCGCGTTTTGAAACGATTTTTCGTTTTAAACCTCCTACGAAGGCATAGGAAGTATAGAGTAAATCTACTTGACGCTATGTTTTTAGGACAAAGAACGGGGTATTAATACCAAACCAAGCTTCGTAAATGAAGTAGCATAGAACCAGAAATACACAGGCATATACTAGAGAAGACGTTCGCCAGTATCTAATAAACCATCTAAATCAGGCAAATAATTCCGGGAAAAATATGCTATAACCTAATATGCTATAACCTTGGCGATTTTTTGATGGTGGGATAATTTCTTGAAGAGCACATATGAGCTCATACTTCACACAACCGATTATGCAATTCTTTGATTTACACATGTTGTGTGTTTCGCAATCAAAGAGATTATGTAATGGAAACCGAATACTCGGTGCATCGCTACTGTAATTATGTACTTGAAAGAGCGATAATTGCCATGACATTTTGTATTAAAATCTATGACCTCTGAATGGAATACTTACACCTCCACGAACTGCGAATTTCAAATACATTTTTTAGAGCACAATATGTATAAATTGGTATAAGAGGAAATACATTAAAATGCTTACCTCCTTCATCTGTCATGATAAGTACTGTTGCATTTGGACCCACACCTGCTGGGGTGCTAACTTGAACTGACACGTAGTACTGGGTCCATGGTTGAAGATCTGATATGACAGTGTGCTGAAAAGAAAAATGATGTTAGGCTAGAAGTTATCCAATATTTACCATTATTGAAGATTCTACAGGGTGTTGCAGAATATTAGGAGAATTGAAGGGCCGATTCAGCACTTTGGAATTCTAACAATATACAAGGTGTCTAAACTTGTCCGGCTTTGATAGTTCATCTTACATCTCTCGAAAACAGATTGACATAATGACATGAGTTTTTGTAAATGCAAATGTTATCAAAGGTCATATTAGCATTACCAAAATTGACTTCTAAGGCACTTACATTATTGGCATTGGTGCCAACATCTTTTTATAAAAAACGCAGCTGGTTTTTGCAAAAAATTGTTAGCAATATGTTAACGCCGGTGGAACATAATAAAATATTCTATGGATCACATTTATAGATGTTCCTTAAGGATTGAGTGCCCTTCAAAATTTCCAAAGTATTAAAACCACCAAATTTTTCAAAATTTCCAGGGTCTTGAAGATATGAAAATTATGAAAATGTTTTGAGTTTCGAAAATCTGAAAATATTGATTTGAAAAATTTTGAAAATGTCGACAAGTGGAAATGGGAAAATTCGGGACACATGTTCACAAATCCTTTTTTCCATAATTTACGTGCTGAATCTTCTCATAAAATTTCCAGAACACATTCTAAAAATACTACTGCATGGCAAATAGTCTTATACCGAGTCAATCTTCTTGACTCCATTTTAGAATTTTGAGTATTGCATCTTTGCCTTCAACTTGGTAATAAGAAACGAAGTGACCTTAATGAAAGACGGAGTTCATCTCGGGTGAAGTACAAATTAATAATTCCTCATTCTAGACACTACAATGGAAGTTAATTAATTAGAATGTCATAAACAGATGTCATCAAAAATATGAAGACGTTGATAGTGGTAGAAACGGTATGGTGATATGTGGGTAGAAGCCTTAACTCTGATAGACTACAAAGCATTGTAACTACTGCAGATATAATTTGGAAAAATGCCCCTGGAACGCAATATGGAGTCGCTCCCTAAGTGACGTCAAATAAATGGAATCAAGTAGATATCTCAAGAGCTGGCGACACTCCCAAAACCAAATTTGTCTGACAGCTTGAGTTCAATGTGTACGAGAGAGAAGCGCGAGAGGTGTGTATCAACACATGTTAGAAAGAGATAGAAGCTGGCTGAAGAGCGAAGGTCATCACCAGATTGCCTAGCAACGGTGACGCAGAAGGTCGTGCAATCTGCCGCGTTGCCAAATGTTACACCAGAAAATAATCGCACACGCTGCTACAATATCTTAGGTTACTGTCAAACCCAAGGAGGTCTGTTCGAACATTTAGTTTTTACTTTTTTTAACAGTCCACGTTGCAAACTTACAAGAACTTTTTATCGGTCATAAATATAATTTTTACTCACCAATATGCCTAAAAAGGAGCCTAACCTCTAGATCTGCCTCCAAGGTCAAGAATTCTTTTACCACTTTTTAGAGGTATGTTTTTATAGTTTTGAACTCGCCAATTTCACCTCTTGGTCAAAGTCAATTACGGCCTTAATTCGTGGTTAAAAGTTTCTGACAAAAGATTCAACTCTCAAGGTAATTCATTTTTTGAGGACATCATTCAAGGTCAGGGATACTAGTATAATCACAAAAATCTGACAACTATAGGTTTTCTTTTTCCTGGGTCCACTTTAACAAAATGCTAGTTGGGAATTGGCGTAGGAGATAAAATCACTAGAGAATAATGTCGCCAGCTCTCGGGATATTGTGGAATTCAACAGCAACCAACTAGCGTTAACATTTGTGTTGCTGTTTTTGGTGTGTGCTTGTACTAATGTATAATTTATCTTTATTGCACTCATGTGCCTTCAGCTTCTTTCAGTAACCTCGGGCGTTGCTGAATTTACAAAAGAAAGCCATTACTACAACTTCTATTTTCACAGAAACGTTATGTTCGGTAGCGATGTTTAAAAGCTCTTCAGATTGCGCTTGTATTTCATACGGCGCCCATTGTATTCCAAGAATTGTGAGTTGTTCCTACTATGGGAAATGGATAAGGTATGGATAGTCGATTTTTTCAGAACTTTCAATACATGCAGGGTTGAAAAGTCTTAGCGGATGACACATTGGTTCAGTCTACTTTCTGCGTTCGTCTTGCTCAATTTTCTGCCCATTTTTTCTGCTTGGAAATTTCTTAATAATTTGGAGATTTTGAATATTTTGAAAATGTCGAAAACTCCATTTTGATATTCAAAATTCGAGAATTTCAATAATTTCGAGAATGTAGAGAATTTAGAGAACTTAGAGAATTTAGAGAATTTAGAGAATTTAGAGAATTTAGAGAATTTAGAGAATTTAGAGAATTTAGAGAATTTAAAGAATTTAGAGAATTTAGAGAATTTAGAGAATTTAGTGAATTTAGAGAATTTAGAGAATTTAGAGAATTTAGAGAATTTAGAGAATTTAGAGAATTTAGAGAATTTAGAGAATTAGAGAATTTAGAGAATTTAGAGAATTTAGAGAATTTAGAGAATTTAGAGAATTTATAGAATTTAGAGAATTTAGAGAATTTAGAGAATTTAGAGAATTTAGAGAATTTAGAGAATTTAGAGAATTTAGAGAATTTAGAGAATTTAGAGAATTTAGAGAATTTAGAGAATTTAGAGAATTTAGAGAATTTAGAGAATTTAGAGAATTTAGAGAATTTAGAGAATTTAGAGAATTTAGAGAATTTAGAGAATTTAGAGAATTTAGAGAATTTAGAGAATTTAGAGAATTAGAGATTTTGAGAATTGAAGAACTTATAGAATTTAGAATAAAAAAAAATAGAACTTTGGAATATTTTAAAATCTTGAAAATGTATACATACCAGTTTAGATACATTCTTAACGTAATGCACCTTACTTTCGTCGAGGCCGTCCCTTCGTTGATACGTGATTTTGTAACCAATGAATTCACCTCTGACGGATTGTTCAGGGGGCGCAGTCCAACTAAGGTATATTGACGAAGATGATTCGTTTTTCGCGTTGGTTATCGTCACTCTTCCAGTTGGAGCTGAAAAGAAACAGAATTTAACTATTATGTTATATACAGGGTGAGATTTTAGTATGTAGTCGGTCGATAGCTCCGTTATTATATGGATGACTATACCCTGTATATCTTAGTAAATACCTTCTTCTTAAGGGAAGAATTTTGATATAGCAAACTAGGGAATAAGAATTTGCTGCCGTTAGGATTCCAACCTCTGCATTCTTAGCCGACATTTTGGCCACCCAGCTACAGTAACACATGACTAATTGTATCAAACGCACCGTGGAAATCATCATCCTTTTGAATTGATTGATTGAACTTCTACTTTTGTGACACGTCGTTTCGAGGATTTAAGAATATCTTGTCGTAAATGAATGTGGAAATACGATCTTCATATTGTCAACCGCCGTAAGACTTACTCAACTTCCACCGTGGAGAAATATTCTAAATTATTAAAGAAAACAAAAGTTTTAATACCACACCAAACTTTGGAATATCTTTGTAGACAGGCTTTAAAAGACAGCCAGCCTCGAGAGTTTAAACTTTTGTAGGAAGTTCATTACTTTCTAGGCAAAATACTGAATGTATTTGGATAAAAAAAGGCGTCAAGCAGGTGGACTCTATACATTCCAGGCAACGCTGTTATCAGTTAATAAGTTGGCACAAGTTGGCTTCTTTAGGTGACTTATCTACGAACATGTATAATAAATAATCATATGGATCAAGGCACGTGCAATTAGTTCATGCATTATCTAATTGTCTTACGCGTAATAGCGTTCATCTGGCAACGTCGCATCTCCCCAATGCCTGATCATACGATGCGTCAGCGTTGCCGAACTTTCAGATTTGCCGGTATTTCTTCTGAAATGAGACCTTATTTACGAAACTACCGATTTCTTAAAATAATCCAGATTTTCTACCGAAAAAGAGCTGGAAACCAAATTTAAGGCTAAAAAATGAACTCTATTCAGTATATACATATGTAGTTTTATACTCGTACCAATAATAAGCGTAAAATTGGGCTGCCGGCCACACGAGGGACGTAGATTTGGGTTGCCTACAATTATGTACGCACATCCCTTACTCCGCTTTCCCAATATTGGTTTTTGTGTACAACCGGCACAGAGTGGTAGATCACCGATACTATAGCATCACCGGATAGAAGTAAGCCAAAGCTCATCTGTATTTAATTGAATGTTAAATTAAAATGTCATGTGATGAGGTATCAAGCTCAGGGGTGAAACAGAAAAATATTCAGGATATTATAAACAAGAATCGCAAACGGACTCTCAATAATGGTTGCAAAAGAAGTTTGAACAGCGACCAGTACGCCCATTGTACAAGTTGTAATAAATAACTTGAGGTTTTTTCAGTTGTGTGCGCACAATACAAATATACTTTTTCATAGAGGCCGCTGTGTGACTCAAAGTCCGTTGATCCATCGCTAATATTGTGACAGCCCTGATTTTTCCTCCTACCAATTTTGTCCTTGAATCTATCGAATTTCAACGACACTGACTACAGATTTCGTCTTTTTCGGTTAGGCAACACTGCACTGCGCCAGTCATGCGAGGATACGTACGAAGACTGGAACGCCGGCCGGTGAAGTCAGAGAGCAGACGTGGGGGCGCCTGTCGAAAACATTTGTCTATTGTTTTAAGAGCAAATGTAATTTTTTATCCAAATATAATTATAACTTTATACAGGCTGTTACAGAAATGATATTCGTAACTTTATGAGATTCCTTGCATTATTCTAAGCAAAAAAGTTCATTATAACCTATGTCCGAAAATCAACCGTTTCGGAGCAAAATAATGCTGAACTTATTTCTTCTTAGTCATGAAATAAATAAATTTTGCACCTTAATAATTTAAATTCATATACCTAATAGTGTAAAATGTATCAAGACATCTATTTATTAATTAACTGTCTCTAACAAAATAATTTTCTTGCTTATTAAATACAATTTTCCGAAGAAAAACAGCCAAACAAAATCCCTTACATAACTGGCAAGGTCGTACTCCGCCTGCACTGCATGTATCATCGCGTGTTGTTGTGATTACTAATAGATTTGACTGTAACTTTACGTGATTTACGAATGTTTTTTTTTCTTTTTTCGTGACTGATAATCGTGGGAAATGGTGGTGTGTATCGCCACGTACCGGTAAGTTCTGTCATTTTTTTTAAGTAAATATACTGTACGGAAGCGTTATTAAATAAAAAATATTAGCCACAAAAAATTGCGTAAAAGTATTCAATAATTCAAGGCATATTTTCAACAAAAATAGGTTTTTGGCTGTCTCAAAATAAGTTGCCTGGAGGTGATTGTTCAGCGTCGGGAAGAGAAAAAAGTCACAAGGACTAAAGTCAGGAGAATGAGGAGGCCGAGGAGCCACATGAATGTTTTTACTGACCAAAAACTCGTTTATTGACATTGTTGTGTGACAAAGAGCATTATCTTGATGCAATACTCAGTTGTTCGTAATCTGATGAACGATGGTGTGAGTCAAATGACTCTTTTTCTATTATCCTGACTGTCAATTGACGATCCCGGACAAGATGCTGGATTCTGTCGATATTTTCATTGGTTTTCGACGATGAAGGCCTTCCGCTTCGTGGTTTCTGTTCAATCGACCCTCTCCCTTCTGAAAATGCCTTAAACCACCGAACAACCTGGGCTCTTGACAAAACACTATCTCCGTAGCACTGGTTAAGTTTAGCAAGGGTTTCCGTTGCACTCTGCCTGAGTCAGAAGCAACCAAAGGACTCGAGCGAGTTCAAACTTGTACTAAAGGCGGATCACATGATTCAAGCCCGGCGCCTACTATGTCGCCAGTTCGGACGCTACGTTGCCAGTCTCATCACTTAACTTACAGACCACGTATTTCCAATAACGGCGTAGCATTACCGTGGCTGCGTACATGGAACGTACTGTATATCGCAAATACAGATGTAGGAAGATGTAGACTTCTAGCTAGAACAATCAGCTCCACTAATTCATTCATCAGGTTGTCAAAAGCTGATGCGCTCTGCGATAAAGTCTAAAGGAATAGGAAAATACAATGAAAAAGATCTAATAAAAAGTTCCTCCAAGGAGGAATCGAAAGGATGAAAGAAATTAGAATTCATTGGAATGGAAATTGGAAATAGTTTTTCTTTGAGCGATATTTGATGAGAGTCAGCGCTAGAGCAAATTTACTTTTCCTAGATATTGTCACCTATGAAAACCTCACTTTGTCGTCATTAGAATGCTATCTCATTTTGATGCGATTAAACAGTGCTTTTCAAAAAGGTCCCCACTTAGTTTTCAAACGGGTCAAGTTAGGAAGCTTGAATTCGGTGGGATAAAATCGATGGATGAAAAAGTGGCTTCCGCGTCTAAAAAAATGTGTAGAAAAAATGGTGACTATGAAGAAAAATAGCTTAAAGATCAAGGTTTCCCCTGATAAATTCGTTTTGTCAAATGAAAAATTTCTTTTGCCTGAACTAATATGGGAACTTTATTTTTGAGACAACATTCGTGCTATAGCGTTTAGTTACATAAACACTCAACTTTGACGGAGTGCCTACCCTCAATTTTGAAAGATAGTGTTTTTATATCCTAGGGTTACAAGGTACTGACAAAGAGCTTCGAAACAAAATACATGACCTGCCGAAACATGCCGGGTGCGCCACCTTTTATGTCGGTATTGAAACATCGAATGACTTTGATTTTTACCAACCGAGTGATTTGGTTATACATGTTTCTGAAACGTCAATTTACTACAATTTTAGTCATGACTCGCTTTACACCGAAACAACGCGCCGTCGTTCAGTTGTGTTAACACAACGTGCATATCGTCGAAAATATCGTGACAACACTATCGGTCGTTTGGTTTCGATTTTCTTGAGTACGGGATAGTGGGAGATCGTCAACATACCGTTCATCAACGACCAAGACGTTCCAATGAATTGGTTGAAGCGGTCAGAGACAGAACCCAAAAGTGTCGTATCGTCACCGCGCTCAGCATTTTATCATCAGTGGAACCACGTTGGGGTGCATTTTGAAAGATGATTTGCATTTGTTTACCTTATAAGGTGCAGTTGAAAGAAAAAATATTGCCAACTGACCGTCCACGTTGCTTGGAATACGTCCAAACAGTCGCTCGCATGGTTGATGCTGAACCTGATCTTTGGATGCAAATTGAGATGACCGGCGAGGCCCATTTCACGCTGTTTGGCGGCGTTAATGAGCAAAACTGCTGCATTTGGGGACGGAAGATCCACGAAATGCCGTTGCATGACTGGAAAGTGACTGAACCGGCGTTTGCGCCAAAACCATCATTGGGCCATTTTTCTTCAACGAAAACGAAACAGTCGATGGAAATCGATATGGGTGGATGCTGGCTTATTATGTCTGCCCACAAATGCGTGAAAAAGGTCTTGATGGTTACTGGTTTTAACAAGACGGTGCACACTGCAAATAAAACCATCCAGTTTCTGCAGCGAAAATTCCCTGAACGTCTGATTGGCTGGCCACCCAGGTCTCCAGATTTGACCCCACCGCACTTCTTCTTGTGGGGTTATTTGAAAAGTCAAGTGTACGCCAGCAAGCCCCAGATCACTGAAGAACTCAAGGCAAACATTCGTACCGCAATCGCCGCTATACCACGAGGTGCTCGAAAAAGTAGCAAAACGGGCACATTTTATGTTGGCCAATAAAGGTCGCCACTTGATAGATGTTGTGTTCAAAAACTAGTTCCAATAAATTGTAAAGGACCATATTTAATAAAAATACCCAATATATAGAAATCAGTTTTTCGTTTTCAAAGTTATTTCACGTTTACATACCGACATAAAAGATGGCGCACCCTGTATGTTCAAATATGTTATTTTTACGTTAGAATGATTAATTGAATTTGTTTCGCAATTATGAATTTTAGCTTCCTAACTTGTCCCGGTTAAAAAATAAGTAGGCAGGCGTTC